CATGGTTTCTTGTTACCTGCTCAACTAGCAGCAAGTCATCGTCACTCCTCTCTGAACTCCTCCTAGCATCTCCAGCACCATTTCTTTGCACACCGTCAGCTCCTGCATTTGCTGCACCTTCATCAGCTTTTCTTATCCTAGAAGCTGCCCGATGCGACGGCCTTGAGACCGATCGACTATTGCTCGGGGAACCAGCACTGAATCCATTCGGAGACTGTGAGCTGTTCTCCCTGTTCAGCGATCGTTTCCTTGATGTGCTGACCCTCTCCTTAAGCCGAGCCAGTAGATCACGCCCGGGACCGGGAGTGTCTCTTGACCTGCTGCCGGTTTCGCTACAAGAGCCTCCTGCATCCCTGCTGATGCTGCCTGAAGTACTGCTTTCTTGTGGAGGCTTTCTGTTGGGCTTCCGGAAAATCTGTGATCTCCGAGGGGTGGCCGGTGTTGATTCATTGGGCGCCGCCGCCCTGTGCACCTCCTTGCCTTTGGCCTTGTCAGTAGAATGCTGACCACTGCAGCCATGGCGCGAGCAGCAATTCTTGGCCTTGGGGCGCGAAGCGTCTTCTCTGAAGAGAAGAATCGATCCTCCCTTGGTGAAGAGGAGGCCGCCGACTGTTCTTCTTCCCATGTGCTCATCCATGTCAGATAATTACCTGAAACTAGAAATGGTTGGCAGAATTCAGGTACTCTGACATTTCCCGAACAGGTTAAATCATTCAGACCTTGCAAACAGGTAATTTGCTGGATTCATGACATTAACGGCCATTACCGATACGTCTAACATGCCTGATATCAATTTGTAATTAATACGCAATATAAACTGAAATACCGTTTCGCCTTCAAACTATAGTTATACAGGCATGCACAAGAAGTAATCACCATTCACCACGGGCCATGTGGTCACAGTATGACTAAAATGGATTCAGCAGACCCAAAGAACATTATCTTAATCATTAATTTTACTAAAACGAAATTAGTCAGATGATCCTTGGTATAATTTTACGTATTATATTATAATCAGTCTAGTTATATATGTGCCTACTCATAGTATAACCAAAGCATCTTTCTCTGTGGACCAAACGAAGTTGTTGTAGTAGCAACCTTTTTCCCTTCCTGTCTGGAATTATTTCCTATCCTGAAAGGCCAGTTTGCCCATGCCTGCAGTACCACGGCATAGCACAGTACTGTATCAAAAACAGAAAGGTGTACTGATTTTGCTTTACGGGAATCGGAATCAGATAACTAGGAGGCACCCCGACGGTTGACACATACGGATTCCATGGGGATAGTAGTACCTTTCTTATCGCATAAGAAAAATATTATCTGCGTCTTGTAACTGAAAAAAAAAGGATGGAAAAGAAAGTTGCTGGTTTCAGACAGCCGAAGCAACCGGGACATGCAGCGGAAAACGATTCCGTCTTTCAGAGGAAAACATTGACCTGTATTCGAGGAACAAGAGGAAGTTTCTCTTTCTTTCTTTTATTTACGAAACAAAAAAAGCAGAGGAAGTTCGATATAGTAAATAAAAAGGAATTGGATTGCAGAGACCAAGAATTCAGAACTTTCGTGGATCATCAAACCTTCAAAGTCCCAACAAAATCAATCCAGCGATCGATCACGATGGCAACAGGTATGTATGTACTCCTATACTTGCAGCGCCTATAACGCTCACAGGCAGCCGCTACAGAAGAACTGAAGAACCCAACGATAAAGGGCGAAAGAACCATGCAAACCACCTCTCTGCCACCCTGAATTCCTTCTACGAGAATACAACAAACCTCTACCACCCTGAATTTCACGAGGTGAACTACAAACTCGTCAACCAGTTGACACGAACAACAAAACAACACCAGGCCAAACATGAAAAGTTGTAAGAGAAACAACGAACCAAACATAGCATGCCGACATCTGAACATAACACGAGGAAGAAGAAGATGAGGAGGAGCGGCCATGACCAACCTTCCTTTCCAAGCCTTTCCTTCTAACCAGGTGATTCTCCTCCAATGGAACAGGCCCGGCAGCGACTGGATCAACCCGGAGAATCGAGGGGAGAAATAGGGAGGGGGCGATAAGAAGAGATCCGAAGTGATGGGAGTTGTTATATACGCATGGCCAAGAAACCAAACCACAGAGACAGAGGGAGCGGGGTGCGGAGCCTTGAACAGGAAAGGAGAGGCGAGGGAGACGAGGCCGGCGTGGCGGGCAGGAAGGGACGGCGGCGGGGCCCGCGGGGCAGGTCGTGTGGGAGCCGTCGGATGAGGCGCCAAGCGTAGGATCTGACGAGCGCGGGGCCCGCTCAAACGGAGGCCCAGAACCGCCCCCACCACCGAATTTCCTGCCCGATAATGTGCCGGCCCGTACATGCGTGTAGTCGAGTGAAGTGGACCCACGGAGGGACTGACAGGTGGGGCGTTGGGCCATCCTGTTGCCTGCGCATTTTTTGGGGGACATTTTTTTTTGTCCGCTTTTCGTGAAGCAGTGTCAGTGTTTTCTGGTCTTTTTGTGCACAAATATATATTACGCTATGCCTTTTTATTATTTGTTTAATTGACTCTCCGCCTTATCGTCACAAAAGAAGCTGAATGCATAAAGATCGGCGATAAAGCCCAAATTTTCAAATATAAGCGAACAGGGTGAGTTTTTTTTTTTTTGACAATGCATAGCAGTTAGTATAGCGCATCAAAATCAACATGTTTTGAGAGTTTTTGTAAGTGGGAGAATAGCACATAGCAGTCTACAGCTATTGAGACATTAAAAAGGCAGCAGTAATAATTAGTGCAGGGAAAAAGTGTTTTTTGCGTGCACTTTTCGGGCGGGAAAAAGTCTAAGATAAAATATGTTGTACCACGTATAATAACATAAAAACGTACAACACATAATAGATATGTGTACATATGTTCCAGTTTTGTTGGCGTGCCGTGGTGTAAAGTGAAAAATCGTTGAGTTAGTACAAAGCCCTTTTTCTTAGTGTGTGACCAGGGTGATTGGTTATTTTTAGGACGACCAGCAGTCCTGTCCAGCTAGCTGTTGGAGTACCAACTTGGATGCGGCTGTAAAGTGTATATGATGCATAAAAATCAGTACTTTACTTTAGATTGCTAAAATTGTACACCGGTACTTTGCTTTTGCACTCATTTTTCTCTCGTGTCTCCCTTGTGATTTGCGTTAAAATAAGAGAGCTAGCTTGCCGGGTCCAGACAATAGCTTATACTTTAGCATTTGCACAAAGGAATTCCTATCATTTTAGCCGTGCTTATAATACAGTTTAGAGATATTGTATAAATAAACATGATAATGACGGAGCGCTCATCGGGTTGCACGTACAGTGTTAGGGATTGACTCCAAGCTCGCAAGGATTTACGTATCTGCTAAATAGATTCTAGGTGCACAAGGGATAGGGGTAGAATCTTCATGGAAAATGGCAGATAATATTTTTGTGACATCCCGTCGTTCTGCAGACGGCGATCGCTGGAATTTGTTCAGGAAGAGGACGGGAAAAGTAAGCTTCCTTTCATGTCCTGTAGTTCGTGGCTCACGACTTGCTCTGACTTATACGGCACATATTCTCCTAGTAGAAATCATTTTCATGGCGTGACAAGAGGGGATTTGTGTGTAGACGATTTCCATCAGTTTTCATACACAGAAAAACTATACCAACTTCCATCTCATACAGCGCACGAATTCTTTTATAAAAGAGGAAAACATACTTTAGTAATTGTTTGTATATAGTGTCAAAAAATTATCTCATCATGTCACACAAGAGTCAACACTAATATTATAAATTATAAAAATAATTCGCTCTGTTCTTTAGCACTACTTTTCAACGAACGAACAATGTTTTTCTCTTATAACAAATCAACATAAACCAAAGAGTTAAATGCACCAGAAGTCCATTACACTTGTGAGGATGTTTCGGTTAGGTCCATCAACTTCCAAAGTGGTTTTTTGGGTCCATAAACTTTGTACGCCGTATCACCTAGGTCCATACCTCTCCACGTTAGCTTTTCGTGCTGACGTGGCATGATGTGGCCATGCAGGCCAGCCGCAGCCCCGCGGACGCACGAGCAGAAGCCGGTGGCGGAGCGGCTGCGACCTGCTGCTGCTGGTCCTGCTCCTACGCCACGGCGACGACATGCACCTCGGCCTCGGAGAAGCAGTGCGACGACGAGGAAGCGAGCGGGCCCTGTCCCTGTGCGCCACCGAACACGCCCGCGCCCGCCCCTGCGCCCGGCCGACGGAAGCTCCACCGCCTCTTCTCCCTCACGGGAGGCCGCACAGGAGGCAGCCGGCCGCGGAGTCGCCAGCTGCGGGCTCTGCCGATTTCGGCCGTGGGCAGCGTCTCGGTGCCGCCACCATCCTTGGCGTCGCCACCGTGGAGCCAGGCGTCGAGGCTGCTGCGCTCGAGGAGCTCGTAGACGAGGATGCGGTCGCGGTCAGCGGCGCAGTAGCCCAGCAGGCGCGTGAGGTTCGGGTGGCTCAGGCTGCCCAGCACCTCCAGCTCGCGCGCGGAACTCGCGGTTGCCGACGCCCGCGTCGCCGTCACCGGAGAGGCGCTTCACGGCCACCGCTGCGCCGTCGAGGAGCACGGCGCGGTAGACGAACCCGAAGCTGCCGTCGCCGATGATGTTGTCCGGGGGGAGAAGCCCCTAGTGGCGGCGGCGAGGTCGGCGAGAGAGAGCAGTCCGCGGTCGTGCCGTAGAAGGACCACGACGGGCAGTCTACTGGCGTCGTATCGGCGGGCGTGGGGCCTCTCTGTCTTCGTCATGCAGCGCGCCCGCCGGGGATGGAGCTCGCGCTGGCGAGGATGGCTTGCGCGCTCGCTAGAGAGGAGCTCACGGCAACGAGGGGCCTAGAGGCCGCCCGCGCGGTGCTCATGCCCGCGCCAGAGCATGCACGCGGTCGAGCTTGGGCCCGTGACGGTGCCCGCGCGCGGCGGAGCCCTTGCCCGCGGCAGAGCACAGGAGCGCCGGAGGAAGCTGTTGGAGTTGCGCCGGCGGCCGACCATGGAGGACGGGACGGGACGAAGCACCGTCGGAGGAAGCCACCGGAGAGGAGCTCACGTCGGCGACCAGCCATGGAGCCGGGTATGCTTGCGCCTGACCTATGTGATCCCCGCCGCCGTCGCCAACTCCACCAGGCTCGTCCGGCTCAACCTCAGCCGGAACACGCTGTCTGACGCGGTCTCGGTCGAGGTCGTCGCGTGGGCGTCGCTCATGTTCCTTGACCTCTCATACAGCAACCTCTCCGGCCCCATCCCCGACGGCTTCGCTGGCTCCGACAAGTCACCGTCTTCGACCTCCAAGCTCACCGTCGACGACGACGACGACAACAACAGTGACAGCAAGAAGGCCATCACCGGGAGCTACCAGCTCGTGTTCCTCAGCCTGGCGCACAACGCCCTTGACGGGCCCATCCCGGAGTCCCTCACCATGCTCACCAAGCTAACCTCGCCGGCAACAGCCTCAACGGCACCATCCCGGCGCAGCTCGCCGCGCTGTCTGACCTCAAGGCGCTAGACCTCTCCGGGAACACTCTCGCCGACGAGATCCCGCCGGGGCTCGACAACCTCACCGCCATGCTCCAGTCCTTCAACGTCTCCTACAACAACCTCTCCGCCGCGGCGCCGTCCTCGCTGACGCGCAAGTTCGGGGAGCCCGCGTTCACGGGGAACGTCCTGCTCTGCGGGTACTCTGCTTCCACGCCTTGCCCGGCGTCCCCGTCACCCGCGCCGGCGTCGCCCGCGGAGGAACCGCCTTCGCGCGGAGGGCACAAGTTCGAAGGCGCTCGTGCTCATCGTCGCCGGGATCGTCGTCCAAGCAGGCGGCAGCCAAGGAGGCTGGTGTTGGCGTTGGTGCCGCCGTTGCCGGGCGCGACGAGAAGCCAGGGTCTGGCGCGCCGGAGGTGGAGTCCGGCGGGGATGTTGGTGGCGAGCTGGTGCACTTTGATGGGCTGCTGGCGTTCGCCACCGCGGAGATCATGGGGAAGAGCACCTATGGGACCGTGTACAAGGCCGCCGCCGCGCGCCCGCTCCGCCACCGGCTTCTGCTCGCGCGCCCGCGGGGGCTGCGGCTGGCCTGCATGGCCACGACATCATGCCACATCAACACGAGAAGCCAACGTGGAGAGGTATGCATCTAGGTGATACGGCGTACAAAGTTTATGGATTAAAAAAGTCACTTTAGAAGTTGATGGACCTAACTAAAATCTCCTCATGAATTAATGGACCCCTGATGCATTTAACTCTAAACCAAATTTCAACGAAACAAACTGGACCAATGTCTTTGTCAGAGACGTCGCTAGACGTTCCTGCACCACAATGGTGGCTGGTGGCTCTTTGGACACATTTGGATGGATGGATGCCCATAGGCTGTAGCAGCCCGGCTAAGGGGCCATTTGGCTGGGCTCTCGCCTGCTCTGGCTCTCAAATCGTAGGAGCACTGTAGCACACAGAGGAGCTGGAGCTGGGAAGTCAAAAATACTGGCTCCGGCAGCTCCTTCGTTGTCAGTGAGAGAGAAGATGATGAGAGAGAGAAAAGCAGCTTCTATACATAGTGCGATGAGCAGTGCTGCTACAGTAAATGTCAGATGGAGTCGGAGCTACTAGGAGCCCGGCCAAAGGGCCCTAAATTTCAGCCGTTCACCATAGGCACAAAGCTACGTTTGGATCAAAGACAGAATTTGGACGTATTTTTGTACCAAGTTCTTTCTGACAAACTGGGTTAGTTGTGACCTTCTACAGTGAATTGAAAGAACAGGAGAGTTTTTTTTTTTTAAGATTCCTTGGAACAAATGGTAGTACACAGGAACTGGTCAACACATAAATACGTGAGCCGATTCAGCGCGGGCGAGTACACATCACGACGGCATAAAACCGATCCTCCACTTTTATCTTTTGTTTGGTGCAAGTTACTTGAAGGCTAAATGGTGTGTATGTGCGTGTCTGGTCGGCTCGTAGCCGGAGTTGGAGTTGGGCGTACTGAACCGTGCCACTACCACTAGGGCTGTTTAGATTGAGGTCAGGAATCAGTATTTGATATTGTAGCATTTTTGTTTGTATTTGATAATTATTGTCCAATCATGACTTAACTAGGCTCAAAAGATTTGTCTCGTAATTTACAATCAAACTGTATAATTAATTATTTTTTTATCTATATTTAATACTCCATATATATGTCAAAGATTTGATGTGATGAAAAGAGAGAACTTGAATCCAAACAAGGCCTAGCAGTAGCAGCGCGATATGACGACGGAGGCGCCCGGCACGAAAGGCAGGCGGCGGCAGGCCAAAAGCAACCGGCAGTTGACGTACGGGGGTCGCTGGCCGCTACTCTAACTTAACGCACGGCCGCTTGCCTTTTGGGCATCCGGTTGACATGCCAGCCAGAAAGCACACAAATGGCACAAGAATCCGGGCAAAATATGCATACATGCATACGACGAATAACCAAGGTCCTTGTGAACATGCATGATACACAGTTTTTTTTTTTTGAGTGGATGCATGATACACACAGATGCCAAATGTATACGGCGAGAGGATGGGGATTATGCTGCAGGTCGATATGACCATAAGAGGCCGTTGGGGCACGGTTATGGCCTGACGGCCACTGGCATGCACTTTTTTTTTTGAAGTTACTGGCATGCAGTTTTGTTTGGTATCCACCGTTGGCTGAGGCTCTCAACAGTCCCAAGAGCAGTTAGCTCCGTCAAAACGACCTTTTGTCGTCTCCATTTGTTGAGTTCGGCAACGGATGTTGATTGCTATGCATACGCGCATGATCCAAAGCCGCAACGGAAAACTGCCTGTCCTCTTCTTTTCTGCAACCGCGACGACACGGGTGGAGAAGTTTCACTTGGCCTTGACGAGTTCTACACGTTGATGCAGGTCTTCGTTTCAACTAGTAAACTTATTGTAAAAAAAAAAAACTAGTAAACTGGCGGTATGTCGATCTTTTCGCTATATCGTCTTGGTTTATTAGATTGAAAGTTTTGGAAATTTCGCTCGCACTCCCCTCCTCGCACATGTGCATCATAGCAGCCATGACTCTAAAGGCTTAGGCCTCACTTTGCTGCATCCCCTTTGCGTCGTCAGCATGATTACAGGGGGGCATCAAACGACCAAGCAAGCCGTCCCACAATCATGTCCATACAAGTATACAACTCGTCGGAGCCCCCATTTTTTTATGCGCTCGCCGCTCGGCGTCAGACAGGGCCGCACACATCCGGAGCGCCTTGTCTTTGCTTTCCTTTGCATCCTCATGGCCGCCCGGGGTCTTCTGACCACTTCTGAACTTTATATATTCTCCTCGTGCCGTATCAACATCATGCTATCGTGATTCTACTCATTCCTTGCCATGATGAATATACATACACAGGGCCGTCCAGGGGTTTTTATATAACTCAGCAACCGTGGCCTACTAAGCTGCGTGCTCGTCCCTCTGTAGTCTGTAACCGCATCGCATGATGCCGCAATCAGCAGCGCAATTTATTTTTGGAGTTGGTTTCATGGTTCTTGGTTTGTTTGATTTGATAATGCAGGTGCCTTTCAGTGTGTGTCTGTGTTGGTGTGATAATTCAACACGGCACGGCACGGCAGGGCAGGACACTAATCAGCTGATAACCCTCTCCTAGACTCCTATGTATAGTGATGTCTCCTTGTTGGGTTCTCTGGTTAGCACAGCACTTGATCTGCTCCACAAACAAAATCATTCTTCCAAGTGCTGCATGGATGGATGGACTGGGACTGGATAGGACGGCCTTTCAGTTGCATTGCACCCATGGGTCTTCTCACAGGTCGTTTTCTTTCAGAGAAAGCGAAGGGCATGGAAGGCGATGCTATTTGGCCTTGTGTAGTGTTTGAAGTTTGAATAGAGGTGTCAGTTTTAGCAGAACCACAATCTGGTTTGCCTGAATTAAAGTTTTAAGAGCCACGACTTCACTTTCACCCAACCTGCAAGTTGACGCCGTGTCGAGATGTACAGAATCTACTTATACTTATTAAGCTGATAGATTGCAGCAACCAAATGCTATTAGCCCAAACTGATACGCCTCTTATATACGCTTCGTATCCCTGTCACGCTGTCAACTTCGCGTTGTGAAATGTCAGGAAGTTGCCAGAAATACAGATTGGTGGATCATCATTAAGAACAAATCTGAAACGTAGGCCTAGTTTAGATTGCAAATTTTTGCAACCTGGACACTGTAGCACGTTTCGTTTGTATTTGATAAACTTTGTCCGATCATGGACTAGGCTCAAAAGATCCATTTCGTGATTTACAACCAAACTGTATAATTAGTTATTTTTTTATCTACATTTAATGCTCTATGCATGCGTCCAAAAATTGATGTGATGGAAAGAGATTAAAAAAACTTAGAATTTGGAGGTAATCTAAACAAGGCCGTACTTAAAAATCACACTAGAAAACTTGCTGTGGTATTACGGATGCTTCAGCTTATCTTTCTGACAATCTGTCAACTAGTACAGATTTCAGACCACTGCTCTGAATGCTTCAGTTTGACAGTTTTCTGTACCTTTCGTTCAAACAAAAAAAAACAATTTTCTAGACCTCTCTTTCAAAAAAGAAACGATGCTCCACTTCCAACAAGAAGAAACCAGATGTTAGCGTCACGCTAACCTGTAACATGATGCTGAATGACACTGTATGTTGAGATCAAAATCCCATCATCATTAGAGGGGCTAGTGGAGTTGTCGTGGACGCATAAGCTAGCAGGGTCGCCTCGCCTGATGGCAAGGAAACGCTCGCCGCAATACATACAGCCAGTGCGTGCGTGTTGCTTCTTCGGGGCGGCTCAGTTCTGTTAAATGTCAACGTCTGACGTGAAAGATACCCAGCAAGTTGCACCTGTCATGCTCCGTTTACATACAAATTACCCAAACACATATAGTTTTGTTGCTAATCAATTGGGCTCCTTCGCTTGGCCGTTTCTCTATAAAAATCAACAAAGGAACCAACATTCGCATGTTACTGCTGACATCCTCTCACTTTTTTTTTTGAAAAAAAGTCTTCAGAAATCGGTAAAGGGCTTATGAACCATACAAATGGCAACAGAACCAGACATAAGACACTTGAAAAAAACAAACCCCTCTTGCTCCATCTATTTCTCCGAGTATTGTGAAAAATTCAGCACGGGTGCTATGTAGCATGTACAGACACATTCAGAGCAGCCATCTTATGACACTACCTTGACGCTGCTGGATTTCTTCGCTCTTTCGCCAGAGAGACGGGCAGGGGGACGATACCTTCATCTTCATGAATAGCTATCATCACGTACTAGAGTATAGTGCTAACCCGGTGTTCTTAACTGAACTGCTTGCTTATTAATTAACCGGCGGCGGCCTTTATTGCGCGGCCGCGATCATGGAGGATGACCGGTGGCTGGGCCACGGCGGGGACGGCGGCCGCTTGCGCTGGTGGTGGTGGTGCTTGGCGGGGCGGTGTGTGGACGCCTCCAGCTCCGAGGTCAGGATGTCGAACATCACCTGCACGTCCCTGTAGCCACAGGTCTGCACATCCTCGTGAAGCTTCAGTATGCTGCCGCCGCTGCCTGCAGGGGGAGAGTTTCAGGGATAAGGATCTTGTCACTGTCATGGTCATGGATCACCCATTCACCCCACCCCAAAGGGAGAGGACAGAGGAGGATCAAAGATTCAAAGGGAATTGTGATAGAGGCGTCTGTTTTTTGTCCACTTTGCTAGTGGAGGGAAAAAGGGGTGTAGAATGCTGGCCGCCTTTTGACCTCCCGATTTTGGGTGGAGAGGAATGAAATGCAAATATACTCACGATATTTGTGACACTGTTTTACTGCTGGAATTGTGGAATATTCATGCTGAGCGCATCGTTGAATTTGACCAATCCATTAATAATTGTACTATGTTAATTTGTATGCTTTATTTAACCTTATATTCCAATAATAAATAATGTCTCTTTTTTTTAGAAGAGGAATGTATAGGATAAAGGAATTCCTAGGATAAATAATGTCTCTTGTGTTTGCTGTCTCAGTATCGTGGGCCTAGATTGCATGAAAAAGGCCCACAGGCCCATGTAGTAGACGTGTGATCTGTTACACCGAGGGTCCTTACATACGGATGGGCCCGAACTTGTCAATCTAACTGAAATGCATAAAAGGCTAAGACTGTGTGGGCTTCGACTGGAACTGGAGGCCCATATTCGCTAAGATGTTCTGATGTTGACAGTAGCTTCCCTTTAGAAAAAGGAAGTGAAGTGTTAGTACGGTTCTCTAAAACGAAAATGACGTTGGAAAATTCTAAAAAAAAATGACGATGGAACGGTTTACGGCAAAGCGCTAGAAACCAAGAAACTACTCCAATCAAACGAAGAAAGCAGAGAAACAGAAAGATGAGGTAGTAAGCATCTGTTCCACCAGAAAAGCTAGCACAAAACGGACGGTAAGAGGATCGACCGACACCGTCTTTTCCCGCATGGCCGCATTCGATATTCTACCAGGACAGCAACTCGTGCTGCACCGTAAGGTTCATCCTTATCTACAATCTAAACGACACAAAGTAAAGGAACTACCTGAGCAAAAGAAGAAAAAAAAGGTTCCTCCCTTCAACTTTTCCAGAACCAAGAACATTTCCCTTCCGGAGTACGAGTTCTCACCACCAGGTTCGTCTGCGCTCCTAGTCCCTGCCGCACCAGCACCATGGAGATGGAGACACTGGCTTTATTCCGTTTCGATCGGCATCCGGCAAGTCAAATCCTGACCGGGAACGAGCACCACACACACGGCCACACGGGTTACCCGCCCTAGTGGCATGGCTTTACCCAGGGCAATCCAACGGGCGGCCGGGGACAGAAAGGAGAAAGCGGCTAGCCGGCTACGCTTCCAGCCTTCCATGCATTCCACGACGACGAAAAGGCCGTCGCCCGGTACCCGTCCGTCTGCTGTCGATCAGCCAGTAGTCACATTGCTGCCTCAGCCTCCATCCAGCCGAGATTGAAAAGAAAAGCAGCCTTCCACGAAGACGAAAAGAAGCGTCTGCTCGTGACGTTCCAATCGGAGAGAGTGAAACGAACTGTTTTCCGGAAGGGACACCCGGTTTAGTTTCCGCACGCTCACCAGTCACAGAGGCCACAAGCCCTGTTCATTTGGTTTGTTTGCTTTATAAGCCATGGCTGAAAGTAACGTTGGCTGGTTTGGTATGAGAGAAAAAATATTATTTATTGGCTGATAAGTTATGGCTTATAAACCAAATACGACCAAAGGAACAGGCTGAGACTATTGCTAGGTCATGTATACTACTCTTGCTACTAGGAGTACTATAGATCATCAGCTGTCCAACGGCTCGGGGTGGTGTAAGGGCGCGTTTTGGTTCGTTGCATGAGTTGCGGCATGCCGCGGCCTTGCCATTACTAACCAGTTCATTTTCCTCGCCGAATCGCGCCGCAAGTGTGGCGAACGAATTTGGCACCGAAGTTTTGGCGCAACAGCAGATTAGTTGTGGTATACTGGTATGCAACCGCTGTGAAGCAAACGCGCCCTAAAGTGGATGGGCGTACACGCGGTCCGATTGATTGCGCTGCCCCGTTGTCCGATGCCCGGTGCCACGTCGCCATAT